TATTGCGACAGTTGCCTTTCTTCCAGGCAGCGCAGACGTGTACCTGAGAACGATTCTCCTGCTCGTGCCGTAACGTGTTTTGATTCTTCTCCAGTTGTTTGAGCTCCAGTACGTCTAGAACGCGCTGTCGGAGCCAATCATAGGCACGATTCGGTTCGCTGATCTTCATGCGCTGGTATTCGTACATATCCTGTTTCATCCAGGCACGTCGGCGAATCTGCGTGCGAAACAGAGATTCCAAGATCCAATAGTAAAGCGTCCCAGTCAGTAATGAAACGTTGCAAATCTTCATCCCTCATCCTCAGTTCTTTGAGGCGCTCAAAATCATGCAGGTCGTCATCAACCTCTGTCACTTTGTAGGGCTGTAGGATGTGCCAGTAGAGCTGGCGTCCTTTGTCCATGCGCCCTGCTGTGTGCTCTGGTTTCGATGGGCCTGATCTGGTAGCGCAAGTCGGAAGATAAGATGTCGCTGGGAGCGGTAGCGAGTTTGCAATCGATGCTCTCAAAGTCTCCGCTGTCTTGTAAGTCTTCGAAGGTACAATTGGGCTGTTCAGCCACGCATAGGAAGGCATATGCTTTGGATGGTCGCCCTGAAGCGGCCCCAAAATTCTCCCGTACCTTTTGCTGCCACTCAAGCAGCTGTGTGATCTTAGGCAAGACAGGGACTCGGACGGTGTCTGACTCCTTGATCGGAAAAGTAGCATTGACCGAAACCGCAGACAATGGTTGCGAGGGTATCGGTACACCGTCGGTAGTTGGTCCTGCGCGCGCAGGAGACACGTGGCGTGTCTGTGCCGAAGCTGCCGCGGAGACTGCTCCTGGTGACGTACGTCGTTGTTGTCCTGCAGAAGCGCGCGGTGCTTCAGCGGGCGCTGCCGTCGGCCTGTGCAGGCCGGTTGCAGGCTGAAGGTGAAGTGTGGTGTCGTCGGTGTGGTCAATCAGCTGGTTTGTCCAGCTCGTCATGTCCTCGTGTATTTGGTCCACTTTTTGGCGTGTGTACTCGTCAGTATCCCGAGAGCGTTGTGAATGCCGATCAAGTCGTTGCTCGCAGGCTCGGAGACGGGCGTTGTGCGCCTCCAACTCACTGTCCAGACGTTTGAGGTGCTCCTCGACACGTGCATTTTCAGCATCTCTCTCACGAATGACCTGCGAGAGCTCAGACTGCGCGTGGTCCGCCGCCTTCTCAACCTCCTGCAACCTGTCAGTGAGGCGGGCGAAATCGTAAACCGTGGGAGGAGAAGCCAGCTGGCCAGTCTGGGCTCGTCCGACACGCAACTCTGCCAGGGCGCCCTGTACACCAGGGAAACGCTGCTCGATTTCAGAGATCCTGTTAGCGAGTGGCTGCACGACAGCGTTGGTCGCATCAAGCCTTTGAGTGATAATTCTCTCAGTATTTGACGAGTTGGTGTGTGTTTCGGTGCGAAGCGTCGCGGTAGTGTGGTCCCTGTGGGATCGGAGACCGTTGGTCTGAGACTGAACATCGCCAGGGTCATTGGCCTCGGCTGGAGGCGGTCGGTTGCAGAGCTGGTCATGGATCTCGTCGTGGAGAATCCTGACTGCTGAAGCGCCTGTGTCGCGTACGATCACAAGCTGTTGCTCCATCTGCGCAAGGTAGCTGCGCAGGTTCTCGACCGTCGCTGATCGTTCACCTGAGTGTGACATCTCACGGTCAACCTGGTACTGCAGCTCACCTAAGACGCGGCGATCTTCAACGATCCTGGAATCGATGATCACTCAGGCGCCGTCGAGAACTTGGCGTAGAGCAGCAGTGTTGGCAGCGTTCGTCTGAACGCTCTGCATCAGTCCAGAGTACTGCCTGGACACGAAGGTTTCAACCTGGTCTCTGAGCTCAGCGATTTCACCTGCAGCGGACGTTACCGCCGGCAGGTCGTCTGAGATGGAGAGGTGGGGAGCGTCAGCTTCCCTCTGCACCCTCTCGCGAGGAATGCATGGCCTCTGTGAGGGCACGCGGGCTCGACCTTTTCTCGTCGTATGGGCCTGTGGTCCCGCGACGGTTGCGCAAGGACGAGCTGCGGCTAGGGCCGTGTGTGTGGTGTCTGATGAGATGATACCTGGGGGTACTGCGTCTGCGGCTGCGCCGTCACTGGTCTACTGAGTTCCTCGAAGGTAGCAACGTGCTCCGCTACAGGAACGGTCGCAGGGCTGGTCATGCCAGCGCCTGTGTTCCATCGGCGGTTAGCGCGAAAGCGCCCTGGAGTATCAGGACCAGTGGGGCTTGCGCCCGACGCAATTGGGATTGCTCCCGACGGAAGAGGAGATGGAGGATCGAAGGTAGGCGTGTGGAATTCTCTACTGCCTGCTCCTACTCCTTCTCCTGTCCCCCCGCGGGCGGCGTGGCGGTGAAGTTCAGCAGCTAGCCGCGCCTCGGGTCCGTCTGAACTGGGGGGGGTATCGGGGACACCTACACGGTCCACACTAAGGCTTTCCGACTCATCACCGAGCCGTCGTGCCGTCGGAGAGCGCGGACGCGAGGCCCCGA